GTTCAGTGGTTATTCATAGGCACACACTGCAGCCTTGAACTCCTGGCCTCAAGTGATCCTTCTGCATTGGCCTCTTGAGTAGCTGGAACTACAGGTGAATTCACCACAACTGGCAAGAATGATACTAAATCTGCTCTGCCTGTGCTCCGTGAATAAAGCAACAAAGCCTGGATAACATCTGTTTACAACATGGTTTACTGACCATGTTAAGCCCACTGTTGAGGCCTACTGCTCGGAAAAAAAAAGATTCCTTTCAAATTATCATTGCTCATTGACAATGCAGCTAGTCACCCAAGAGCTCAGATGGAAATGTACAAGGAGATGAATGTTGTTTTCTTTCTTTCTTTTCTTTTTTTTTTTTTTGAGACAGGGTCACACTCTGTTGTCCAGGTTGGAATACAGTGATGCGATCATGGCTTACTGCAGCCTGGAACTCCTGGGCTCAAACAATTCTGCCTCAGCCTCCTGAATAGTTGCAATTACAGGTGCAACCACCATGTCCAGATATTTTTTTAATTTTAATTTTTTATTATGTTGATTGATTGATTGGGTTGGAGTCTCTTTTTGTCACCCAAGCTAGAGTACAGTGGTGTGATCATGTCTCATCTCAGCCTCGACCTCCTGGGCCCAGGCGATCCTCTCACCTTGGCCTCCTGAGTAACTGGGAGTACAGGTGTATACCATCATGCCTGGCTAATATCTTGATATCTTGTAGAGACAAAGTCTCACTATGTTGCCCAGGCTGGTCTTGAACTCTTGGACTCAAGCAATCCTCCTGTCTCAGCCTCCCAAAGTGCTGAAATTACAGGCATGAATCACTGTGCCTGGCCTTATTTTTATTTTTGTAGAGACAGGGTCTAGCTATGTTGTCCAGACTGATCTTGAACTCCTGGCCTCAGGCGATACTCCAGCCTTGGTCTCCCAAAGTGCTGGTATAAGAGGCATGAGCCACCATACAGAGCCAAATGTTGTTTTCTTTTCTTTTTTTATTTTTTGAATTGGAGTCTCACTCTGTCACCCAGACTGGAGTGCAGTGGCCACTCCCAGCCACCACAGCCTCAGCCTGCTGGGATCCTGCGATCCTTCTGCCTCAGCCTACCGAGTAGCCGGAATTACAGGCATGCGCTACCACGCCCAGCTGATTTTTTGATTTATTGTAGAGATG